AGTGTTTCTTTTTATTTTCTCACAATTGTTTGAACAATTGAACATAACAGTATAACGAATTGAATAACACCCATAGTATTATACAAATACAAATATATGAAATCTCAACCCTAACCTTATTTCCAAGATCATAGTTTTCTTAGAATAAGAATAGAAACCATTGTTAAAAGAAAACTCATGTATGATAAATTAGAAATTACGCAAGAGTATCCATAATGGTATCTTTGAAACATATAAGATATAAGAATATCATCGTCATCATCGTTGATCCAGATTGTGTTAGCAGACGCGCGGTAACACAAATGTTACTATTAATAATCCAGAAATTCAGTAAGTTTAAACGGGAACGTTTAAAACGTTTTTGGCCGAGAAGAAATCTTTTGCGTAAAGTCTTTTTAGAATGATCGACTCATTCCACAAATGAATAAGCGTCTAATATTAGAGACGGAGTTTGAAAAGTCGTGGAAAACGAGAGAATCAACATCATCGTTGAATCGTAAGAACGGGATCAGTAAAAGTAATAGCAGCACCAACGGATATTAAAATTTGCTTTCCAAGCATCCACCCATCTTCCTAACCCTCCCCCGACCCACCCCCTGATCCACCCCACCCCCTTACAAGACCCTAGGTTCCTACACAGTTTTCGTTTAATCTTCGTTTCTCAGTTTTACTTAAGGTAGTAGAGGGGTTTGTATTTAAAGAGAATCACCACCACCCACTACGATTGGACAGATTCCTTCGTGGCGTGGGCTGCATCATCATTTATTGCGTGTTCAACAAACCGCGGGTTTATATAAGAGGGACCGTCGTTTTACCACGACAGTTCAGTATACCGAAAAGAATTATCACGTAAGGATGGCCCTAGAACGTCAAGTCCGCGCTAAGGTACTATTAGTATTCTTTTTTTTTATTATTACGTCGCGGGAAAGAAAAAATAATAAAACAAAGTCAAAGTAGAAAAGAAACGTGGAATAGAAAGAGAACAAATAATATCTATTAAAGTTAACCACGAAATTGCTACTCCGATCGGGATGCAATAGTGAAGATCGCGATAATCCTTAAAACATTAAGGAACGTGCCCCGAATCAAATCTTGGCTAAATGGAATAAAAAGATTCAATGGGGAATCTTTAGATCGATGTGTGTCAGAGTTTACGTCAGATCATTTTCTTTTCTATCTCTTTTTTTTTCTTTTTCACTTTCTTATCATTTATATATATTTTTTGTTCGTTACCGTTAAAGTTGGGAAACCATTAACGTGAACATAACCTAACTAATATGCAGATTAACCAAATTGTTTCGTTAAATGGAATTGAGAGTTTTACATATTTTACATGATATTTAACAATATCGTTATATTTCAGCAGTTAGTCAAACAATAATTAGTCAATAATCTTTTGATAACCTGAACAATGTTTTAGAAATT